CCGTAAGCTACGCTATACGCTGAAGAGAGAGAAAAAAATAACGGACAATGTGTGTGTCTGATTGGCAGAGTGAAGAGAACAGAAAGAGCAACACCGACAAATCCCACGGTTGTACTGTAATATGTGTCGGAGGGCTTACAACAGACTTCGTACGTCGTGCAGGATTGTCTTTACTATTACAAAGACTTTATATAGGACACGGCTTCATCTCTGCAGTACGCGTACTACGGCTGTATATAGAGACGTTGCACTCCTTGCACGCTTGCCCCTTCTACGTAGAACTGATCTACGCTACGCCTCTGCTTATACCGTACGTGTACTGGGTCCGCGTCTAGACGTTGTATGCCGTACTACAGATGTGTGATTACGTCCCTGTGCTGTGTCTCTTACAAATGTGTCCTAAGGCTGCTGTCTTCCTCCAGGGCCGCGAGACATGTACGCGCACACATACACGGTTTGTAGGCATAACGATTCACGGACTTCTGTGCGTATCCGTAGACACCTGTACCTGCGTATATCGACCTACATGTATATATATATATATATATGAGGTGAGGTGGGACATTCAAACATCTATATGCACGGCACTCATGCATATACAGACTTGCCTATGTAATTATACACAACCGCACCTGTCTGTATACTGGAACACAGATATGTGCATATGCGCCTTGCACCGCTTTCGGTACTGCTGTTGCTGTTGCGGCTACTGGTGTTCTCATTCAGCTGCAGCCGCTGCATTCCCCCGTCCCTGTATCCCGTGAGGACAACATAAAGCTGCTGGAGCAGCAGGGCCTCGAGCGACTAATAACGCTGCAGCAGACGCAGCAACAACATGAGGGGCAGCAACAGCACCAGCAGGGGCTCTTTTGTTTCTGTTCTTCTGCCTCTTCTTCCTCTCGCGTGTGCACTTGCGATAGAAGTTGTGGTGCTGCTGCTGCTACTCCCTCGGAGAGAGTGAAGCAGCGTCCAGCCCACCTGGACGCTCGCAGGATGGCGGAGGAGATCATTGCTCGTCGCTGGCAAGAGCATCTTAGAGTGACCGCTTCACACGCTGGGGACGATTGGTCTGTCCCTCGTCGCTGTGCACGGAGCCGCATAGGAAAGGATACTAAGGAAGACTCCTCGGAAACAGAATCCCGAAACACTCTTCTTGCTCTTTGTAGGGGCTACGATCTCGAGAGCCTTGACTTCGACACCGAGACCCGTGTTCCTCCCCAGGTGAGTCGACGGGTAGGCTAGACGAACACAACAATAACAGCAATAGCTCCCCCAATGCACTAGCAGGCCGTGCGGCACCGTCTCAGACTGTATATATATATATATATATATATATATATATACATACATCTATGCATACATGTATACATGTGTATACGACGCAACTTCCGATCCTCTACGTATATACACCTATACCCGTACACCCCACTCCATCTCAGAGTATATACATATAATTATGTAGACGACTCAACTCCAGATTACATATGTACATCACCCTATCTCTGATTTTTCATGTGTGTGTGTAGTTAAACGATGCGGTCTCAGATTGCACATATATATGCATACGTACAGCTCGGTGAACTCTCTTCTGTGTGCCTCGACGTGCGCGCGGGATGCTGCTGCTGCTGTTGCTGCTGCCTTCGCCCAGAAGGCTACTATTGCAGCACGAGGAGCGACAGGCCGCGGGAGATAGTTCTTGTCCAGAGAGTTACCAGCTCTGATCCATAAAAAAAACTTGTCGGGACGCTGCAGACAATCCAGCTTCTTAGCGCGACAACCACACTGCCGCAGCGCATGTTTTCCTCTCGGTGGAATGAGCGTGCGGTTCAGTTGATGGGGCGGATAGAAAGCCCGGAGCACTTTGGTTTGTGCGTCGCTGATACCTGCGTAGGAGGCCCGTAGATATTGTGATGCACCAGTTGTAGTAGGGCTCTGCGTAGTTTGGAGATTTGTAGGAGAGTCCCCGGTAATGAAATCTACTGTTTGTTGCTAGCATCTGCCTCGAGGGCGCCTGCGTGTGTACCGCGCGCATGGTCAATGATGGACTGCGGAGATGCTTCGCATAGAGGTGCGTGCGCGTGTGTATACAATGCACTCTTACTATCCCAGATGCTGCGGCGCAGAGATGGAAAAGCAAGTGTCAAAGTGTGCATCCACTCTGCCACTCTCTCGGTGTGTATGTGTACGTGTCCAGATATACATACAGTTAGCGTCTGCACGCGTGCGTACGCGTACCTCTCCTCGTGTACTTACATTTCGGCTTCGTCTGCGTGTGTGCGTGTTCAAATTACTCCTACTCTTTCGTCTGCGTGTCCACGTGTACGTGTTCACACGCACGTGTTTGGCCTCTCGTGCATGTGTATGTGTCCAGATCGCTCCTGCTAGTTTGTGCGCGTGTCTCTGTGGCGTTCACGTGTGCGTACATTTCCTATGCCTGCCTGTGTATGTGTTGAAATCACTTCTGCTTCCTGCGGGCTCTGACGCTCCACAGCGAATCCCCCGGGAGAGTGTACATATATATATATATACATATATACATACATATGTATATGTGCATCAGTTTATATATGTGTATACGTATGTATAAGTGCCGATCCCCGGTAGTGTACGTATAGGACTCGTTCTCGGATGTCCTATATTGGTATACGCATATAAGACGTGATCTCCGACCATATATATGTATATGTATATATATACGCAGCTTCATCAGCTCTCTTTCGCTGACGCTTTAGCGTTCGCCCCGTGCCCGCGTATGCTCCTGCTGCTGCTCGCGCATAGACGACTGCTGCGGCACCAAGACCGGACACATCCGTAGGAATGACTCGTCGAGAGCGTGAGCGTCCTAATCATCCGCGTGCAAGATCGCCGAGGCAGCAACAACAGCGGCAGAAAGCAAATAAACGACAGAGCTCTTGCAGCCGACAGCCGGCCCATATCGATGACGATTTGAGGAATCAAGGAGAGGTGCAGCAGCGGCAGCTGAAATCACCGGTCGCGGAAGCAGCAACACTTGTTGAAAAGGACGTAGGCCACCCAGAAGAAGGAAAAAGCCTTGCAGCCTCTAAAAACTCCGCCGAAGCAGCCGAATACATATCTTCGCCGCCGCCAGACAACTTTGCTGCACAAGAGATCCCGGACAGCACGGTCGCCTGCGCTGAAGCCTCGAGAGGGCGGCCACCCGCGGTGCCAACAGCTCGTGGAGAGATCTGTTTACGAAGACGGCAACTCCTTATATCGAGCCGCCTGTGACCAGGTTAGTACACAGCGGCTGCCTGTATGTGTAGGGCACTACACGGGAAAGTATCAGGATCAGTGTGTTCATAAGCGGGCGCTGCCGCTGTGAACGTTTCGAGTTGGCGTGACCGGCTGGAAGCCTGTTCGACAAAGGCGGGTACTGGCCCGGTGAATGAGGCTTGTTAGGGTAGTGGCTTTTCCTGCATCTCGTGGATAGGTATCCGCACGCGGACGCACCCATAGGAAAAATGGTCAGCCACCGGCGCCTCTGTAGGCACATGAGATGGAGTCGAACGTGAGACACAAGTGCAGCAAACTATTACGTGCAGAGCTTGCGGGCTTCACACATATGTGTGTACCAGTGGATAGCGCGCACCCTAAGGGCGATGGCCGAAGGCTGATCACCTTTTCAGATACGGTGGTACATTTAGAGGACAGTTCGTACGCGCTTGTGTCCGTACGTCGTGAGCGTCTTGTACGCCTGTCGACGGTACGATACTCACGAGAATTCCGCAGCACACGGTCCTTCAGAAAAGCTGGAGCGCACATCTGTAGCTACACGTACTTGTGGTAGCGGTCCAGACTCGACGTTTACTCAGATCTCCTGGCGGGCAGCGGGCTCTGACCTTGTTCGCGCATACTCTCTGCGGCGCACAGAATGCTATGCGCGTACGCGCAGCCACAGGATGATATGCGTATACGGGAAGTATTATCTGGGTGCGCGGCGCTAGAGCGATTCATTAGATGTCTACACGGTGAAGAAGTGGTGGACAGCCGCCTGCACCTCCTTACCCGATACGTAAAGTGTCTAGCATGCCACGAGCAGGGGTAGGAAGAGCACAAACACGACCCACCACCGGGAACCCGTGTATCCGCGTATTCGGCATCGTGTCACCGCCGTTGTCGGAGTATAAATTGTATCAGTGCAGTTATTAGTAGCAGTAGAACTTGTACTAGCAGCATTACGAGAGACGACCCCGTGCAGCACGCGTGGAATCCCTGAGCTGATGCGCATGTGCCTACGGATCTCTGCGGCGTCTCTGCAGATGCACGGCTCGGAAGAAGACCATTACTTCATTCGATTGGCTGTTGTGGACGCGATGGTACGCCACGGGCATGATCCTCAGGGCGATGCACCTGTCAACGTAACCAACACCGACGGCAACAGGCCGGCGCCCCCCGTAGGGACCCGCTCTTCCAAGATAGACCTCTTCCGTGAGAGATAGTCGGGCCGCATCCTGATGCATTACAGTCTGTGCTCCACATATTAGTTTGCTGCTGCGCTCAGAACCACAACCAGTGCTTAAGTGCGAAACTACTTTTGTCGGATGCCTCTATCATCGGTAGAATGAACGCGTCGTTCGAATGACGGTTCAGACAGAGAGCCCGGAGTTGTTTACTGTGGAGTTCTTCGTGACACCTGCCTCCTCGGTCCCTGAGCCCCGCAACGCGCTAGTGGCAGGAGGACCCTGAGTAGTTTAGTCTGGATCTGTGGAAGTGTCCCGAGTAGAGTATGCTCCAGTTTGACGGTAGCGTCTGCCTTCAAGAAACTGTGTCTCCCTATCACGCACACGGCGGGTAATGAACTACTACATCTGTTTTGCCATTGTCTGGGTGTGTATACGGTGAAACCGCTTCTGCTTCTGGCGGACTGTGGTGCTCAACAGCAAATCGGGCGCAGCCATTTTGAACCCTTCGTCGACGAAACAGACGGAGCCTCCTACGAGGAGTATCTCAAAAAAGTAGCCACTTGGGGAGGTGAGCCAGAAGTTCGCGTTGATGAAAGAGCCCTGCAGAGAGGCCTCTTTATTAAGATTACCCTTAAAGACACTCCAGAGCAAGCACGCAGGCCTGCCTGTGAGTATGTCTGCCACCATGTTCGCCTTGAACCTATGCTGCCACGGCTTTTTCAGCGAGGCGGCATTCGTTTCATATGTGATGCAGTTCTCTTTCTACGCTGTCGTGTCGCTTACAGACGTATATAGTCTCTATACATGCGCACATATACAGGTTCACAAATGGATGCACATACGCCTGTACATGTATATCTGCAGCACACTTGTATTCGCATATATACACGTATACGTATGTGTATTCATGCACACCTATATATATACGCATCCGTATATAAACAGGAGACGTGCGCCCCCTACATATATGTACATACTCTACATGCGTAGACATCTGTGCATGTGCATGTAGAGAACCCTATACATCTATATATAGGTTTGGTACGTGTGGCGTGTTGGCATGGCGAGGGGAAAGGAGCTTGTAAAAAACTATGTGGCCCCTCCAAGCCCCGAGGAATCCGTGACTACGTCCCACCGTACCTTCAAGTGAGAAAACACCTGTTTGTATTTCAGTAGACTGCACGTGTGCGTATGGTTGCGTGACTGAACCCGCAGCGGTCTCCGACAACAAAGAGCTGCAGGCTCTCTCGATGCTGTATAACTGCCCGATAGAGATCTACGACGAGGAGTTGCGATTGAGTTACACAATCTCCGATGAATGCAGTACATACTTAAGCACGGCAAAGCAGCACCTAGGAGACTCGACGGCGCAGATAACAACAGCTGCTGCTGAAGGAAACGGTCCGGGGGCTTTTGTTGTCGGCCCAGAGGAAGAGGAACAGGAAGCAGCCGTGAACGTAGCCCCAACCGCTCTCCGCTTGATGTTTCGTGCTTCAATTGGGCACTATTCGTCCGTAAGCTACGCTATACGCTGAAGAGAGAGAAAAAAATAACGGACAATGTGTGTGTCTGATTGGCAGAGTGAAGAGAACAGAAAGAGCAACACCGACAAATCCCACGGTTGTACTGTAATATGTGTCGGAGGGCTTACAACAGACTTCGTACGTCGTGCAGGATTGTCTTTACTATTACAAAGACTTTATATAGGACACGGCTTCATCTCTGCAGTACGCGTACTACGGCTGTATATAGAGACGTTGCACTCCTTGCACGCTTGCCCCTTCTACGTAGAACTGATCTACGCTACGCCTCTGCTTATACCGTACGTGTACTGGGTCCGCGTCTAGACGTTGTATGCCGTACTACAGATGTGTGATTACGTCCCTGTGCTGTGTCTCTTACAAATGTGTCCTAAGGCTGCTGTCTTCCTCCAGGGCCGCGAGACATGTACGCGCACACATACACGGTTTGTAGGCATAACGATTCACGGACTTCTGTGCGTATCCGTAGACACCTGTACCTGCGTATATCGACCTACATGTATATATATATATATATGAGGTGAGGTGGGACATTCAAACATCTATATGCACGGCACTCATGCATATACAGACTTGCCTATGTAATTATACACAACCGCACCTGTCTGTATACTGGAACACAGATATGTGCATATGCGCCTTGCACCGCTTTCGGTACTGCTGTTGCTGTTGCGGCTACTGGTGTTCTCATTCAGCTGCAGCCGCTGCATTCCCCCGTCCCTGTATCCCGTGAGGACAACATAAAGCTGCTGGAGCAGCAGGGCCTCGAGCGACTAATAACGCTGCAGCAGACGCAGCAACAACATGAGGGGCAGCAACAGCACCAGCAGGGGCTCTTTTGTTTCTGTTCTTCTGCCTCTTCTTCCTCTCGCGTGTGCACTTGCGATAGAAGTTGTGGTGCTGCTGCTGCTACTCCCTCGGAGAGAGTGAAGCAGCGTCCAGCCCACCTGGACGCTCGCAGGATGGCGGAGGAGATCATTGCTCGTCGCTGGCAAGAGCATCTTAGAGTGACCGCTTCACACGCTGGGGACGATTGGTCTGTCCCTCGTCGCTGTGCACGGAGCCGCATAGGAAAGTATACTAAGGAAGACTCCTCGGAAACAGAATCCCGAAACACTCTTCTTGCTCTTTGTAGGGGCTACGATCTCGAGAGCCTTGACTTCGACACCGAGACCTGTGTTCCTCCCCAGGTGAGTCGACGGGTAGGCTAGACGAACACAACAATAACAGCAATAGCTCCCCCAGTGCACTAGCAGGCCGTGCGGCACCGTCTCAGACTGTATATATATATATATATATATATATATATATATACATACATCTATGCATACATGTATACATGTGTATACGACGCAACTTCCGATCCTCTACGTATATACACCTATACCCGTACACCCCACTCCATCTCAGAGTATATGCATATAATTATATAGACGACTCAACTCCGGATTACATATGTACATCACCCTATCTCTGATTTTTCATGTGTGTGTGTGTAGTTAAACGATGCGGTCTCAGATTGCACATATATATGCACACGTACAGCTCGGTGAACTCTCTTCTGTGTGCCTCGACGTGCGCGCGGGATGCTGCTGCTGCTGTTGCTGCTGCCTTCGCCCAGAAGGCTACTATTGCAGCACGTGGAGCGACAGGCCGCGGGAAGATAGTGCTTGTCCAGAGAGTTACCAGCTCTGATCCATAAAAAAACTTGTCGGGACGCTGCAGACAATCCAGCTTTTTAGCGCGACAACCACACTGCCGCAGCGCATGTTTTCCTCTCGGTGGAATGAGCGTGCGGTTCAGTTGATGTTGCGGATAGAAAGCCCGGAGCAATTTGGTTTGTGCGTCGCTGATACCTGCGTAGGAGGCCCGTAGATATTGTGATGCACCAGTTGTAGTAGGGCTCTGCGTAGTTTGGAGATTTGTAGGAGAGTCCCCGGTAATGAAATCTACTGTTTGTTGCTAGCATCTGCCTCGAGGGCGCCTGCGTGTGTCCCGCGCGCATGGTTAATGATGGACTGCGGAGATGCTTCGCATAGAGGTGCGTGCGCGTGTGTATACAATGCACTCTTACTATCCCAGATGCTGGGGCGCAGAGATGGAAAAGCAAGTGTCAAAGTGTGCATCCACTCTGCCACTCTCTCGGTGTTTATGTGTACGTGTCCAGGTATACATACAGTTAGCGTCTGCACGCATGCGTACGCGTACCTCTCCTCGTGTACTTACATTTCGGCTTCGTCTGCGTGTGTGCGTGTTCAAATTACTCCTACTCTTTCGTCTGCGTGTCCACGTGTACGTGTTCACACGCACGTGTTTGGCCTCTCGTGCATGTGTATGTGTCCAGATCGCTCCTGCTAGTTTGTGTGCGTGTCTCTGTGGCGTTCACGTGTGCGTACATTTCCTATGCGTGCTTGTGTATGTGTTGAAATCACTTCTGCTTCCTGCGGGCTCTGACGCTCCACAGCGAATCCCCCGGGAGAGTGTACATATATATATACATATATACATATATATGTATATGTGCATCAGTTTATATATGTGTATACGTATGTATAAGTGCCGGTCCCTGGTAGTGTACGTATAGGACTCGTTCTCGGATGTCCTATATTGGTATACGCATATAAGACGTGATCTCCGACCATGTACATGTATATGTACATATATACGCAGCTTCATTAGCTCTCTTTCGCTGACGCTTTAGCGTTCGCCCCGTGCCCGCGTATGCTCCTGCTGCTGCTCGCGGACAGACGACTCCTGTGGCAGCACGACCGGACACACGCGTAGGAATGACTCGTCGAGAGCGTGAGCGTCCTAATCATCCGCGTGCAAGGTCGCCGAAGCAGCAACAACAACGGCAGAAAGCAGATAAACGTCGCACCCGACCGCCGGCCCATATCAATGGCGGTTTGATGAATCAACGACAGGTGCAGCAGCGGCAGCTGGAATCACCGGTCGCGGAAGCAGCAGCACTGGTTGAAAAGGAAGTAGGCCACTCAGAAAAAGGAAAAGGCCGTGCAGCCTCTACGAGCTCCGCCGAGGGAGCCGAACACATATCCTCGCCGCCGGCTGACAACTCTGCTGCAGAAGGGATCCCGGACAGCACGGTCGCCTGCGCCGAAACCTCGACAGCGAGGCCACCGCGGTGCAAAGAGCTCGTGGAGAGACCTCTTTATAAAGACGGCAACTCCTTTTATCGCGCCACCTGTGACCAGGTTAGTACACAGCCGCTGTGTGTATCTGTAGGGCACTAAATGTGAAAGTATCCAAACTGGGTGGTTCTGATGGGGCGTCGGCCTCAAAGGCGCCTGCGTGTGTACTGCGCGCATGGTAAATGATGCACTGCGGAGATTTTTCGCATAGAGGTGCGCGCGCGTGTGTATACAATGCATTCTTAAACTATCCCGAATGCTGAGGCGCAGAGATGGGAAAGCAAGTGTCAACGTGTGCATCCACTCTGCCTCTCTCTCGGTGTGTATGTGTACGTGTCCAGGTATACATACTGTTTGCGTTTGCACGCGTGCGTACGCGTACATGTTCAAGTGTACATACATTTTGGCTTCGTCTGCGTGTGTGTGTGTTCAGATTGCTCCTGCTCTTCTGTCTGCGTGTCCACGTGTACGTGTTCACATGCACGTGTTTGGCCTCTCGTGCATGTGTATGTGTTCAGATCGCTCCTACTAGTTTGTGTGCGTGCCTATGTGGCGTTCACGTCTGCGTACATCTCCTATGCTTGCTTGTGTGTGTGTTGAAATAAGCTCTGCTTCCTGCGGTCTCTGACGCTCCACAGCCAATCCCCCGGGAGAGTGTACATATACATATATATATATATATACATATATATACATATATATATATATATGTATATGTGCATCAATTTATATATGCGTATACACACATGTAAGTGCCGATCCCCCATTGTGTACGTATAGGACTCGTCCTCGTTTTCATATATTGGTATACGCATATAAGTCGTGATCTCGGACCATATAAATATATATGTATATAGCTTTATTGACTCTCTTTCGCTGACGCTTTAGCGTTCGCCCCGTGCCCGCGTATGCTCCGCTGCTGCTCGCGCACAGACGACTCCTGTGGCAGCGAGACCAGATACATACGTAGGAATGACTCCTGATCATCCGCGTGCAAGGTTGCCGAAGCAGCAACAACAACGGCAGAAAGCAGATAAACGACAGAGCCCTCGCTGCCGACAGCCGGCCCATGTCAATGGCGATTTGATGAACCAACAACAGGTGCAGCAGCGGCAGCTGGAATCACCGCTCGCGGAAGCCGCAGCACTGGTCGAAAAGGAAGTAGGCCACTCAGAAAAAGGAAGAGGCCTTGCAGCCTCTAGAAGCTTCGCCGAAGGAGTCGAATACATATTCTCGCGGCCGGCAGACAACTGTGCTGCAGAAACGATCCCGAACAGCACGCTCGCCTGCGCCGAAGCCTCGATAGCGCGACCACAGCGGTGCCAACAGCTTGTGGAGAGACCCGTTTATGAAGACGGCAACTGCTTATATCGAGCCGCCTGTGACCAGGTTAGTACACAGCGGGCGTGTGTGTCTGTAGGGCACTAAATATGAAAATATCCGGATTTCTGTGAGCACAATTTGGCACTCCCACTGTAAACGGTTCGAATTGGCTTGACTGCCTGTAATCCTGTTCAACAAAGGGGGGCACTGCCGCCGTGCATGAGGCTTGTTAGGATAGTGGCTTCCTGCATCTCGTAAAAAGGTATCCGCCTGCGGGGGCACCCATAAGAAAAATGGTCAGCCACCGTCGCCTCTGTAGGCACACGAGATGGACTCGAACGTGAGTGCAGCAGACTATTGCCTGCAGAGCTAACGGGCTTCTCACATATGTGTGTACCCGTGGATAGCGCACAGCCTAAGGGCGATGGCAGAAGGTTGGTCGCCTTTTCAGACACAGACGCACGTTTAGAGGACTCTCTGCACGCGCTTGTGTCCGCACTTTTCGCGCGTCTTGCACGCCTGTCGACAGTACGATACTACCTAGAATCCCGTAGCACACGGACCTTCAGAAAAGTTGAAGCGCATGTCTGTAGCAGCACGTACCTGTGTTAGCGGCCCAGACTCGACGTTTACTGAGATCTCCTGGCGGGCAGCCGGCTCTGACTTTGTTCGCGCATACTCTGCGGCGCGCTGAATACTATGCGCATACACGCAGCCAAAGGGTGATCTGCGTATACGGGAAGTTTTATCTGGATGCGTGGCGCTGCAGCGACTTATGAAGATGTCTACAAGATGAAGATGTGGTGGAGGGCCGCCTGCGCGGCCTCACCGAATACATAAACTGTCTAGCATGCCACGAGCAAGGATAGGAAGAGCACAGACACGACCCACCACGGGAAACGCGCATATGCGTGTATTCGGCATCGTGTCACCTGCGTCCTCGGACTATAAGACGTATTAGTGCAGTGATTAGTTGCAGTAGAACTCGTGTTAGCAGCAGTATTAGGAGAGACGAGCCCGTGCAGCACCCTTGGGATACCTGCGCTGATGCGCATGTGCCTGCGGATGTCTGCGGCGTGTCTGCAGATGTACAGCTCGGAGATCCACCATTACCTCATTCGGTTGGCGGTTGTGAAAGCGATGGTAGGCCACGGACATGATCCTCAGGACGACGCGCCTGTCAACGTGACCAGCACCTGTAGGAGCCCGCAGTTTCGCGATAGAGCTCTTCCGTGAGAGGTCGGCGGGTCTTAGCCTAATGCATCACAATCTTTGCTCCACATAGTAGTCTGCTGCAGAGTCGAGAGTCGCATCCAACGCTTTAGTGCGATAACTACTTTTGTCGGAAGCTTTTATTATCGGTGGAATGAACGCGTCGTTTGGCTGGCGGTTCAGACAGATGGTCCGGAGTTGTCTACTTTGGCGTTCGTCGGTGACACCTGCCTCAGCGGTCCCTGAGCCGCCTACCTTGCTAGTGGCAGAACGGCCCTGAATAATTTAATCTAAATCTGTGGAAGTGTCCCGAGTAGTGTGTGCTGCAGTTTGTCGGTAGCATCTGCCTTTAAGTCCCTGTGTCTTTCTACCACGCGCACGGCGGGTGATGAACTACGAAGTCACTTCGGGCACAGATGTGTGCGCGTGTGTACAGCATGCCTTCTCACTGTTCCGGATGCTGAAACATCGAGACGGAAAAGTATGTGTTCAGGTGTGCACGCACTTTTCCCCTCTTTGCATGTGCATGTCCACGTCTTCAGGCAAACATAGCCTCTGGCTGTGTATGCATGTCTATATGTACGTTTTCACATGTGTATACGTTTTGCCATTGCCTGCGTGTGTATATGTTGAAACCGCTTCTGCTTCTGGCGGTCTGTGGTGCTCAAAAGGAAATTCAGCGCAGCTACTTTGAACCCTTCATCGACGAAACAGACGGAGACTCTTACGAAGAGTATCTCGAAAAAGTAGCCACCTGGGGAGGTAAGCCAAACGCCCGCGTTGTTGAAAGAGCACTGCAAAAAGGCGTCTCTCCTAAGATCATTCCCATGGCTGACCGCAGGAGCCACGCAGGCGTGCTTGCTTGTATATCTACCACCAAGTTCGCCTCAACCATATGGTGCCACAGCTTTTTCAGCGAGGCGCCTCTACTTTCCTATAAGATGTGACTCTCTTTTCACGATGCCGCGTGACATACACATGTAAATCCTCTCTGTACATGCGTACATGAACAGGTTCACAGATGAATGCACGTACGCCTGCACATGTACATCTGTAGCACAAGTGTATACACATATATACACATACACATATGTGTATCTATGCACACACATATACGCACGCGCCCGATTGTATATACGCAGACGTGCGCCCACTACGTGTGTGTACATACTTCACATGTCTAGACATCTGTGCATGTGCATGTACAGAACCCTATACAAATATATGTAGCATTGGTACGTGTGGCGTGTTGGGGTGGCGGGGGAAACCGAGCTTGTAAAACGCTATTCGGCCCCTAGAAGCCGCGAGGAGTCCGTGACTGCGTCCCGCTGTACCTTCAAATGAGAAAAGACTACTTTGTATTTCAGGAGACTGCACATGTACGTGTGGGTGCGTGACTGAACCCGCAGCGGTAACCGACCACAAAGAGCTGCAGGCTCTTTCGATGTTGTATAATTGCCCGATTGAAATCTACGACGAGGACTTGCGATTGAGTCACACAATCTTCGAGGAATGCAGTACACACATAAGCACGGCGAAGCGGCACTTGGGAGACCCGACAGCGCAGAAGACAACAGCTGATGCTGAAGGAAACGGTTTGGGGGCTTTTTCTGTCGACCCAGAGGAAGATGAACAGGAAGCAGCCGTGAACGTATCCCCAACCGCTCTCCGCTTGATGTTTCGTGCTTCAACTGGGCACTATTCGTCCGTAAGCTACGCTATACGCTGAAGAGAGAGAAAAACAGAACGGCCAATGTGTTTGTCTGATTGACAGAGTGAAGAGAACAGCAAGAGCAACACCGACAAATCCCACGGTTGTACTGTAATATGTGTCGGAGGGCTTACAACAGACTTCGTACGTGGTGTAGGCTTGTCTTTACTATTACAAAGACTTTATATAGGACACGGCTGCATTTTTGCAGTACGTGTACTACGGCTATACATAGAGACGTTGCATGCCGAGCACGCTTGCCCTTTCTACATAGAAGTGATCTACGCTACGCCTGTGTTATACCGTACCTGTCCTGGGGCCACCCGATGTAGACGTTGTCTATCGTACTAGAGATGTTTGATTACATCCCTGTGCTGTGTCTCTTACGAATGTGTTCTAGGGTTGCTGTCTTCCAGCAGGGCCGCGAGACACACACGCACACCTACACACGATTTATAGGCGAAACTATGTATAGGCTTCTGTACGTATCCGTAGATAGCTGTACTTGCGTGTATCTGCCTACATGTATATATATATATATATATATATATATGCGGTAACGTGGTACGTTCAAACATGTATATGGACGGCAGCCATGCATATACAGACTTGCATACGTAATTATACGCACCCGCGCCTGTATGTATACGGGAACATGAGCGTGTGTATATGCGTTTCGCACAGCTCCCGTACTGCTGTTGCTGCTGCGGCTCCTGCTGTTGCCACGTAGTTGCACCCCCCGGATGGCCCCTCCATCAGATCTCACTATGTATTGATGCTGGAGTCGGTGGGGCCTCGAGCGACTGTTAAGCCTGCAGCGGACGCAGCAGCAACAAGAGGGGCAGCTGCAGGACGGGTTTTTCTCTTCTTCTTCTTCTTCTTCTTCTTTGTCTTCTTGTTCTGCCTCTCGCTGGTGGTTTTCTGACGAGTCTTCTGCTGCTGCTACTTCCTGGGAGAGAGTGAAGCCACGTCCAGCCCCCCTGGACGCTCACAGCATGGCGGAGGAGATCCTTGCTCGTCTCTGGGACGAAAATGTTAGAATGATAACGTCGGTATGTGCTTCTTCTTCTTCGCGCCCTTGGGAGGATTGCCCTGTACCTCCTTGTTGTGCACGAAGTCGCAAAGAGATGGAGTGTAGAGAAGACTCCTCAGTAACAGAAACTCCCAATACGCCGTCGGCTTCTTCGAGGAGCCACAAGCTCGGGACCTTTGACTTCGATGATGATGAATTTAAGGTGACCGTACAGGTGGGCTAGACGAACACAACGATAGCAGCAACGCCTCCTCCAATGCACTAGCACGCCGGGCGGCTTTGTCTCAGACTGTATATGCATGTACATATGCGTATAAACATGTGTATAGGACCCGATTTTCCGACCCTCTAGGTATATATATATGTATATATATATATGTCTAGGCGTGTTCCCCACTCCTCATTGTATATGTATATTTATATGACCCGATCTCTGATTTTTTATGTGTGTATATAGGTAAACGATGCAGTCTCAGATTCTATAGAGATGTATACATGCAGCTCGATAGGCTCTCTTCTGTGCGCCTCGACGTGCCCGCGAGATGCTGCTGCTGCTGCTGCTTTCGTCTAGAAGGCTACTATTGCAGCACGAGGAGTGACAGACCACGGGGGGAGAGTTCTTGGCCAGAGACTCGCGGCCTCTGATCCGTAGGGCTACCTCTGGGAATGCAGCAGACCAGATAGCTTTCTAGCGCCACAACCACACTGCAGCGGCTGTCTTCCTCTCGGTGCAATGAATCTGTCGTTTAGCTGATGGGGCGGATAAGAAGCCCGGAGCAGTTTGGTTTGTGCGTCGCTGACTTCTGCGTGAGAGGGCCGCAGACAGTGTATTGCGCCACTAGTGGAAGAGCTTTCCGTAATTTGAAAGTTTTTAGGAGAGTCATTGGTAGCGAAATCTGCAGTTTGGCGGTAGCATCTGCCTCGAGGGCGCCTGCGTGTGTACCGCGCGCATGGTGGATGATGGCCTGCGGAGATGCTCCGCATAGAGGTGCGTGCGCGCGTGTATACAATGCATTCTTACTATCCCAAATGCTGAGGCGCAGAGACGGAAAAGCAAGTGTCAAGGTACGCATACACTTTGCCTCTGTCCCGGTGTGCATGTGCACGTATCCAGGTAAACATACAGTTTTCCTCTACACGCTTGCGTACGCGCAGGTGTTCACGTGCACACACCTTTTGGCTTTGTCTGCGGTGCATACTGCTGCTCCCTTGTCTGCGTGTCCACGTGTGCGTGTTCATGTGTACACGCATCTTGCCTCTCGTGCATGTGTATGTTCAAATCGCTCCTGCTGGTTTGCGTGCTTGCCTATCTGTACTTGTTCACGTGTGCATATGTGTTTCCTATGTCTGCGTGTGTATGTGTTAAAGTCACTTCTGTTCCCTGCGGGCTGCGACGTTCAACGGCGACTCCACCGCAGCATATATATATATACATATGTACATCCCTTTGCAAATATGTATACATATATATGGTGCCGATCCACGGTGGCGTATGCATAGGACCCGTCATCAAATTTGATACATAGGCATTTCCACATAGGTGGGGATCTCAGGCTATATATATGCATCTCCATTGGCTCTATTTCGCTGATGCTTTGACGTTCGCCCCCTGCCCGTGTATGCTGCTGCGGGTGCTGCTCGCGCACAGACGACTGCTACGCCAGGAAGACCGGAGCTACCCCCAGGGGTCCACTGCATTCGAGAGCGTGATCGTCCTAATCATCCGCACGAAAGATGGATGAGAAAGCAAGCAGCAGAAAGACTACGGAGGTCATGGGGCATAGAGCCTGCGAAGAGAGTCGTTTATGAAGACGGCAACTGCTTATTTCGAGCCGTCTCTGAGCAGGTTAGTACATAGCGGCTGTGTGTATCTGTTGCGCACTCAACGTGAAAGTCGTGGAAGTATTCGGGTAAGTGTGTTCATAGCCGGGCACTTCAGTCGTAAACGTCTCAAATTGGCATGGCTGCCGGTGGCCCTGCTCGACAACGGCGGCTACTGCCGCGGGGCACGAGGCTTGTTAGGGTAGTGGCTTTCTGCCTCTCGTGAATGGGTATCAACCTGCGGGCGCACCCATACAGGAATGGTCACCCACCGTCGCCTTTGTGGGCGTGTGAGAGGGACTCGAACGCGAGACTTCCGTCCAGCAGAATATTACCTGCAGAACCGGCCTGCTTCTCACGTACTGGTGTACGCGTGGGAAGCACTCATTCTAAGGCTGAGAGTCTGCGGGTGATCACCTCTTCGAATACAAGAATACATGCAGAGAGCACTTCGCACGGGCTTGTGCCTGTCTACTCGTCCTGTACGCCGGTCGACAGTACGATACTAACGAGGAATGCGTAGCACGCCCACCTAAAGAAAAGTTTGAGCGCATCTCTGTAGCATCAAGCGCCTGTGTTAGTCACCCAGACTCTACGTTTATCCAGATATCTTGGCGGGCAGCCTAGACGGCAATGACTTTGTTCGGGCAGACTGTCTGCGGCGCATAGGATGCTATGCGCACCCGCGTAGCCATAGGGTGGTATGCGTATCCAGGAAGTGTTAGCTGGGTGCGTGGTGCTACAGCTATTTATGAAGACGTTTTCACGATGAAGAGGGGGTGGAGAGCCGCCTGCACCTACTCAAGCGATACGTAAACTTTTCAAGATGCCACGACCAGGGGTAGGAAGAGCGCAGACACGACACACCAGCAAGGGACGAGTTTATCCGCGCATTCGGCATTGTGTCACCCCCGGTCGCGTAGTGTCACTAGTCTCAGTGCAATCATCAGTAGTAGTGGCTGGACTCGTAATAGCAACAGTACTACGAAAGACGACCCTGTTCCGCACGCTTGGGAAACCTGCGTGTGATGCGCCTGTGCCTGCGGATCTTTGCGGCGTCTCTGCAGAAGTACGGCTCGCAGGAACCCCATTACTTCATTCGCTTGATGGTCGTCCAGGCGATGGTAGGCCACGAGCATAACTCTCAGGGCGACGCTCCTGTCAACGTAATCAACACCGACAGCAACAGGCCGACGCCCCACGTAGGGATCCGCTGTTTCGCGGTAGTGCTCTTCGGCGAGAGGTAGCCGGGCCTTAGCCTGATGCACTACAATGTTTGCTCCACATATCAGTCCGCTTTTAAGTCCAGAACTACATCCAGTGCTTTAGTGCGATCACTACTTCCGTCGGATGCTTCATTATCGGTGGGATGTACGTGTCGTTTGACTGACGGTTTAGACAGATGGACCGGGGTTGTTTACTGCGGAGTTCGTCCGTGACACCTGCCTCGGCTGTCCGTGAGCCGCCTAACCTGCTAGTGGCAGGAGGACCGTGAATAGTTTAGTGCGGATTTGTAGGGGTGTGCCGAGCAGTGTATGCTGCAGTTTGTTGGTCACATCTGTCTCAAAGGCCCTGCGTGTGTGCACCACGCACATGGCGCGTGATGCACTGCAAAGCCGCTCCTGGCAGAGCTGTGTGCGTGTGTGTACACCACGCCTGCTAACTGTCCCCGGTGCTGAGACACCGACACGCAAAAGTACGTGTTCAGCTGTGCATAGCCTTCTCCTCTTTCTGCGTGCGCATGTCTAAATGTTCAAGTAAACACATACTTTGCCTCTACATGCATGCCTATATCACGTATACATGTGTTTTGCCACTGTCTGCGTGCGTATATGTTGAAATTGCTTCTGCCTTCGGCGGGCCATGGTGCTCAATAGCAAATCCAGCGCACCGATTTCGAACCCTTCGTCGCCGGAACAGACGGACCTTCCTACCAAGAGTACCTCAAAAAAGTATCCACTTGGGGAGGTAAGCCAAAAGCTCGCGTCGTCGAATGAGCCCTGCAAAAGGGCCTCTTTCCTGAGTCATCCTCCATGGTCGACTGCATGTGTGTCTAGCACCATGTTCGCAGCAGACATATGCGGCTTTTTCAGCGAGGCGCTCTTGTTTCATATGTGATGTGGCTCTCGTTTCACCGTGCCCCGTGACAGACACATGTATATACTCTCTATGCATGCGTACGTATATAGATTCCCAAATGAATGCACGTACGCCTGTACATGTATATCCGTAGCACACATGTATACACATATATACACATGTACATATATGTATATATGCACACATACATACGTACGCGTCCGTATATATACGCGGGGACGTGCGCCCAGTATATATATGTACATACTCTACATGTGTAGACATCTGTGCATGTGCATGAACAGAACCCTATGCATATAGGTATAGGTTTGGTACGTATGGCGTGCGGGGGTGGCGAGGGGAAACGAGCTTGTAAAACGCTATTTGGCCCCTCGAAGCCGCGAGAATTCCGTGACTACGTCCCCCTGTACCTTCATATGATAAAACACAAGGATAAATGCCAGTAGATTGCACATATGCTTGTGGGCGCGTGACTGATTCCGCAGCGGTACCCGACTACACAGAGCTGCAGGCTCTTTCGATGCTGTATAATTGCCCGATAGAAATCTACGACAGGGAGATGCAATTGATCCAAACAATCTCCGATGAACGAAGTACACACATAAGCACGCCGAAGCAGCAATTGGGACTCTCGACATCGCAGACAACAACAGATGATGCTGAAGGGTACGGTCCGGCGGCTACTTTCGTCGGCGCAGGGAAAGATCAACAGGCACCAGCACTGAAAGTAGCCCCCGCCGCTCTCCGCTTGATGGTGGATGGTCCAGCTGGGCACTATTCGGGCGTAAGCTACGCTATATATAAGAAAACGGAATTTCGCACAGAGAGTCAAAAATCATGGCCAGCGTGTTTGTCTGATTGGCAGGCTGAGGAAAACAGAAAGAGCAACTGCAACTGTGATGTATCCCACGGCTATATTGAAGTATGTGTCGGAGGGCTTAGTACGGACTTCGTACGTCGTGCAGAATCGTCTTTACTATTACAGAGACTTTATGTAGGACACGGCTGCATCTCTGCAGCACGTGTACTACGACTGGATGCAGGGACGTTGCATGACTTGCACGCGTGGCCTTTCCACATCGAAATGATATACGCTTTGCCTCTACTCATACCTAACGTGTACGCAGGCCGCATATAAACTGTATGCGCCGTACTCCAAATATGTGATTACTTCCACGTGGTGTATCTCTTACGAATGTATACTACGGCTGCTCTCTTTTACGGAGCCGCGAGGCAGATATGCACACGTACACAGAATCTAGCGGCGTATCTATGCAGAAACTCTATGTCTATCCCGTATATACCTGTACATGCATATACCCAAATACACACGTATATATACATATATATGGTAACGTTGGACATCCAGACGTCTATATGCACTACACCTATGCATATACAGACTTGCATATGTATCCATACAGACCCGCACCCGTATGTATACGGGAGCACAGACGTACGTATATTCGGTTGGCACAGCTCTGCGTACTGCTGTTGCTGTTGCGGCTACTGCTGTTGTTACGTGGCTGCAGGTGCTGCATACCCCCGTGCCTGTATCTCATGAGGGCGATATAAAGCTGCTGGCGCAGCAGGGCCCTGGAGCGACTGTTAATGCTGCAGCTGACGCAGCAACAACAAAAGGGGAAACAGCAGCAGGGGCTCGCCTCTCTTTCCTTTCCTTTTTCTTTTTCTTCACCATCTTCTGCTTCCTCTAGCCGGTGCGATTGTGATAAGTGTTCTGCTGGTTCTGCTACTCCCCCGGAGGGAGCGAAGCTACGTTCAGCCCGTCGGGACGCTCGCAGCATGGCGGAGAAGATAACTGCTTGTTGCTGGCGGGAAAGTATAAGAGTGACGACGTCGATATCTCCTTCTTCCTCTTCTTCTTCTTCTTCTTTTTCACGCCTTGGGGAGACTGGCCTGCTCCCTCGCCGTTGTGCGTGTGCGCGAAGCCGCGAAGAGAAGGAAGCTGGCAAAATAGCGGAGACCTCAAATATCCCTTTTGCTCTTCGTAGGGGGCACGATACCGACACTGTTGACTGCGACACCGATGAATCCGAGACCCCTGCTTCTACCCAAATGAGTCGACGGGTAGGCTAGACGAAGACAACAGTAGCAGCAGCCGTTCTAGCAAGGCACCAGCGGGCCAGGCAGCCCCGTCCCCGACTGTACATCTATATATGTATATATATGTATATACATGTATATACGACCCGATTTCCGACCGTCTACGTGTAAATATATATATATATATATATATATATATGCGTATACCCCACTCCTTCTCAGAGTAGATACATGTATATATAGACATGTGCATATGTATCCGTTTCAGTCCCAGATTACGTATGTAGATGACCCCCGCTCTGATTATTCACATGCGTATGTAGATACATGATGCAATCTCAGCTTCTATATATACACATACCGCTTGATGGGCTCTCTTCCGCACGCCGCAACATTCGCGGGATTGTGCTGCTGCTGCTACTTTCGCCCAGGAGGCTGCTATTGCAGCGCGGAAACCGACAGACCGATGGAGGGATCTTCCAGACCCTGAGCATGCTCATGAGCAAGCAAAGCAGTTCCCTTTGAGGCCGCCATTCCCGCAGCAGGAAGCACACGGACGACTAGTATCGCAGGACGAGCACCTGGCCCGTATCGAAGACGACCAGGTGAAACGCAAACAGGTGCAGAAGCCGCAACAGAGGCGAGAGGCATCGCTGGGGTGTGTCACGAAGAGAGATCCGCCAGATTTGAAGACAACGCAGCGACAAAAACACTCACAGTCTAAAGAGAAGAGGCAGAAGCAGCAGCAGCAACAGGTGAAGGACGGAAGCAAGCAGCAGCAGACCAGCACGCGGAGATTTTCCTGTTATCTGTAGGAGAGAAAGAGCAGCCGCACCAGTATACCGCAGCAGCGGGGGGGGCGACAAAAAGACCTGGAGCACCAAGTGGAGAGGCGGGACACGGGGCAGCAGAAGCAGCAGCAGCAGCAGCCGCGGCAGCAGCACCAACCGCGGCAGTGGGAGCAGCAGCAGCAGCGGAAAACAAGACACGTAGAGCGAAACCCGTCAGCTGGAAAGGTGGCTGCAAACAAGACGCTGCAGGAGTAGCGAAAAATAAAGTCCACAAGCGCTGGGGACAGAAGTGGAAGGACAGATGCGAAGGGCTCACGGGTGACAGAGGGGAGAGAACAAGCAGTAGGAAAACCTTTTACATCTCAAACCACACGCAGAGAGACGGAGAGGGCAGCACAGGTAGCAGAACATGCTACATTTGGTGCAGCATGGGAAAGAAAGGGAGCAGGACAGGTCACAAAAAAGCACACTACGTTCAACACAACAAAAAGAAAAACAGAGGGGACAGAACAGAAGGCAAGACAGTCTGCCACCCCCAACACTACAGAAATGAGTCTAACGCATCAGGTGATCACTGCTGCCGACCAAACGGGAGGCCAGGCAGCAAAAGAACGTGCGGCAGCAGAGCGCACTGGGAGAGGAACAGAGAGGGCAGCACAGGCAGCAACAGAATGTGATACATCTACTTCGGGCGAAGGAATTCTACAGCAGGAGGTCAGCACTCCACAAGGGGAAGATGAAATAGCAAAAGGACGTGTTCCATCGAATACAAATGAACTAGATAAACAACAGCAGGGGGCCGCTCAGCAAGTAGGTGATGGTGCGGCATAAACAAGAGAAGACATGCGGCATAAACAAGAGAAGACAAGAAGGCGGAAAGGGAGGAAAAGAAGGGGAACCGAAGACCGAAGCAGCAGAGAGACCAGAAGCAGGTAGAGGAAGAGGAGAGAGCAATCAGGCAGCTCGCGACTCGGCTAAGTCTGATTCGAATGAAATTCATCAGCAAAAGCAGGGGACGACTCAACAAGCGGCCGGTGCGAAACCGGGAACAGAGGCGCAGCGAGACCGCAGAAAGGGAAAAGAACACGACAGCGGCAAAAACAGCAAAAGCAGCAGCAGCAGCACGACCACATACAGAGAAGAAAGTGGCAGAACACCTGACGAAGATTGCCAACATTGTTCTGTATGTAGTTGAAATATTACAAGCAGACAGGACAAAGCTAGCACTCGCAGGAGAACCGCCAGCACTACAAGCAGCAGCCAGGAGGGCGAGCTGCAAAGGAAAGCAGACTGTGGAAGAAGTTAAGCAAATCGGAGTTGCAGTTCGAAACACAGCCAAAATGTTAAGGGAAAGGGAAGGAAGCAAGGAGCTGCGGAAGATCTTTCAGTAGCAGCAGAGGAAGGCGTATACGGAAAAAGAGCGCTGCAGAACGGCTGACGATCATTGAATATGTTACTCGAGAAGTCTCCAAAATGTTAGAAACAGAAGAAAGCAAAGCGAGAAGCAGCAGCAGCAGCATCGGCAACAGCAACAGAGAACCTGGGAACAGCACCAGGGATAGCAGCTGATACAGGGGAGAGAACCGCAGAAGAGCTCAGGAAGGCCAAAGCCGTCGGCCGAGAAGTGTTTCAAATAGTGCGGGCACAGACATACTTGGCAGAGGTGTGGAAATCCTTAGAAAAAGCCAAACGTCTTTGCTATCCGCCTCTCGTTTCTCGTGTGAGCCCTCCTCTGCTGCTGCCTGGTTTGCAGCGGACAACTCCCGCAAAGCCAGCAGCGCCAGACACACTGGCAGCAGCAGCAGCAGGGGCAGCAGCAGGAAGTCCAGCCGAGACCGGGAGGATGATAGCGGCGGATAGACGCGTTGCAGTGTGGGTGGAAATGCATCAGGCAGTTTTTTTTCATGAGGCTACTGATGAGCAGACAGTACCACCTAAGTGGACTACTACAATTGCTGCGCGGGCACAACATAACGATTTTGTCAGCTGCTCGAATCGCGTCTCAGCCGGCGAACACGTTAATTTTACTGCTGCTCGGTGTGGAGCCGCGCCACGTAAGAGGCTTCTGCATGCTGGAATTCGAATATAGCAGCGAACTACCATGCGACAGCAGTGACAACCTTCGCGGTAACTGCAGCACCGGTAGAAGGGGCGTCCGCGTGCTACTTCGTGTCCAAAGCAGCCGAATGTCACGCGGCAGCAGTAGCATCACTTACAGCCGCTGCAGCAGCAGTGAAACAAATGTCTGCATGTTGGAAGCTGACTCTAGCGGCAGAATGCTACGGGCCAGCAACGACAGAACTGACAGCAACAACGAGAGGGGTATCAGCAGCGGCAACCGCGGCAGCGGCAAAAGACGAAGGAGCGCCCGCATGCTACATTTTGACCGTAGTAGCAGCACGTTACGTGACAGCAACAACAACGCATACAGCAGCAACCAGAGCTGTAGCAGCGGCAACCCCTGGAGCATCGCTCACGCACAGGGGGGCAGCGACAGCAGCAGCAGCGGCTCAATGATAGTAGAAACAACAGAAGCGATGCAGGAACGCTGTTCGTGGATGTGGTTGCAGCAGGCATCTCCAGTGTTGGAGGTGCAGTACCCTGCGTGGTGGGAGTTCCTCACGGTCTTCGGAGATAAAGCGTTAGCTCTTATGAGGGATACTGGAGACGACAGTAGCCACAGCAGCAGCAGATCTGTGGAGAGTAGGCCAGAGGCAGGGGTGTTGGTTAGCCGCATCCAAACGAGCAGATTCACTCATCTCGCCTGTGACGCTGGCCGCTCCCTACCTTCCTACCCCTTGTTCTCCTGTTCCTCGTCTTCCTCCCCCTCCTCCGGCGGCATCGGACCTACGGGAACGCTTAGCAAGAGCAGCAGCAATGACAGCTGCGGGAACACCGCTGGTGAAACGATTGGCAGACTTACGGGGGGTGACAGCGGCAGCATCAGCAGCGGGCGCCGCGGAGCAAGGAGACACGTAGAAATCTTGCTGTCGCGGATAGCTGCAGGTAGTCGCGGTGTTTCCTGTAGGGGGGAGCCCACTGATTCTTCCGCTTCGTACGAATATCATGAACCCGATCCCAGAGAATTTGCTGCAGCTCGGAACAGTGCGCGGGACAGCCCGGCTGCAGCAATTCTAGTTCCTGTGTTTGTTGTTCCTGCGCGTTCCTACGTGCAGCGTGCTGTTGAGAGCTCTACTGCTGGTACGGATCCTCCTGCTGTCATCAGCTTCGCTGCCACAGATGCTGCTGCTGCAGCTTCTTCACCAGCTACACAGTCACATCCAGCAGAATATCCACTCGCCTCTACACGGCTGCCTCCAGCACACAACGCGAACGCTTTTATATATCGTTGTCGGAGGCGTCTGGGCCGCAGCCCCGCTGCCAGGTATTATCCGGAGGCGTCTGTGGGCTCCGCCGCTGCTGCAACAAGCGAAGAATTGCGTCGGGGCTCGTCGTTTGCTTGTCTCAGTCGTTCACCAGCTGCTGTCGATACACCCGCGTGGCTCCCTGTACCCTTTCTCCCTACAATGTCTGTCTTTCTCACTGCTGCTGCTGGGGTAGCCGAGTCTTCATCTCCTGCTGCTTCAGTTCCCGATGCTGCGTCACGCGAGCCTTCATCTTCTGATAGTGCTTCAGTGGAGTCCACTGGTGTCTCTGCTGCAGCTGGTGATGGTGTCTCTGTGGCCAGTAATGTAGCCTCTTCACCCGTATATTCTGGTGCTGCTGCTGTATCTTCCACGGGATTTGACTCACAGCCAGAAGAAACAGAATATTCTGAATCAGAGCAAAGCGCAACAGCAAACCCCGGAGGTAATACGTGGGCGCAGCAGCTGAAGCGCACATCAGCGGGGCGGAGGGCGTTGCTGCGGCGCAAGCGATTTATATTTCGCCGCACCGATCACGGTGCAAGATCTAGGCTGAGCAAGCAGCAGGAGAAGGAGCTGCAGCAGCAGAAGGGGCTGCGGGATAGGGAGCCGCAGCAGCAGCAGAAGCAGAGGGAGCTGCAGCAGTGGCAGAAGGAGCTGGAGCAGCGGGCAGAAGGAGCTGCAGGAGAAGGACCTGCAGCTGCAGCAGCAGCAGAAGGAGCTGGAGCAGCGGCACAAGGAGCTGCAGGAGAAGCACCAGCAGGAGCAGCAGCGGCAGAAGGTGATGCAGCAGCTCCTTCCGCTGGTGCTGCAGCTCGCTCCGCTGCTAATGCAGCTCTTTCCGGGGCTCCAGCAGCTGCCGCAGTGGCATAACCAGCTGCTGCAATGCCAGAACACGCTGCGGCAGCAGCAGGGGCAGCTGCTGCAGCAGCAGCAGCAGCAGAAGCAGCAGGAGCAGCAAGGGTCGCTGGAGCAGACCTGTCGAGAGCAGCACCAGCAGCAGCTTCTAGGCCTGCTTCCAGCTGACGGTGGACGATCTGTGACGAGCAGGCGTGCTGCTGCTTCTGACTCTTCTCCGCCGGGGGGGTATTCCCCCCAGCAGCAGCGGCCGCCTTCTGCAAGCATCAGCAGCGGCAGGAGTACCAGCGGTGAACAGAGCTTGAAGCTGGCTAGCCCCAACAGCAACGGGGAAACAGCAACTGTAGGTGATGTAACGCGAAGTCCTCATAGCCGTTCACCCCGACGCTGGTCTGCTACGTTCCCATCGGTAGCAGCAGCAGCAGCAGCAGAAAACCAGCCCTGCCTGCCCCTAAAAGCATTAGTGAATGAGACGAATAACACGGGCGGTGGTCAAAGTCATCTCCGTAGTCGCATCTCTACTGCTCCCTTTCAGCCTTTGGGCCGTGGTGTCAGTGGTGGGAAAAGCGGTGGCGACTCTACAATAGAGTTGAAAAGGAATAATAGTATTGGAAGTCTTCGCAGGCATTCACCCTCCAGCAGCTTCACACCAACTCTTCCGCATGGTGACAGTATTGGCAGTGGTGGAGACAGCAGCAGCAGCAGTTTCAAACGCACCGGCTGTTCCACGCGCAGCAGCGCACCTGAAAAGGACCTGCCTGCCGTCTCCAGCTGCCAGCATAGTGTAGCACATGAGAGGAATGAGAGGAACAGTAAGCCACCAGTCGACCGGCCTCTCCGCACCCGCGGCGCAGGCAACTTACCGCCAGATAAGTCATAGTTCCTCACTTATATAGCTGCCGCAACAACAACGTTAGCAGGCTCCGCGGCCTGGCAGCCTCAGCAGCAGCAACAGCAGGAAGCTTCAGGACAAGACACAGACTGAGAGAGAGCAGTGTTAAACAGAAAATGTTCCGTGGGGAAAATGGTGCGGGGGGGAAGGACAGAGAGGTTTACTTTCGCGTACGCCCAAAGCCTGAGCTACACTTGTATACGCGTATGTATGTACATATATATATATATATATATATATATATACATACATACATGTGTACATCTTCAGGTGTTCTGGTGCAGGAGAAAGACTTGCAGGCTAAGGTAGGGGGAAGGGAGAGAGGGATAAAACTGTTCCCGTTCACGGTTAAAGCCTGAGCTGTACGTGTATATGTACATGTATGTGTACATATCCCTGAATATATGTATACTTGTGTGAATATATATATATATATATATATGTATATGTACATATATATATGCTCTAGTAAAGGAAAATGTTCGCACCGTGACTGGGGAAGAGGACGGGAGAGAACGAACTATTTTTGCGTTTGGCCAAAACTTAAGCTATACTTGTATGTATATATGTATGTGTACATGCATATATACACATATGTACATATGTACACGTATATGCGGCCTACCGGAGGGAGTTGTTTGTAGAGCAAAGGGGGCAGAAGGAAAGGGGGGACATAACTACTGTCGACTACGGCCGAAGGCATGAGCTATACATATATACATATATATATATAATATATATATATATATGTATGTGTTCCTATATATATTACTATATATAGTTGTATACATACATACATATACATGCATATAAGTACATGTGCTCTACACGAACCCTGCGAGCTACGTCTCATGACATTTCTAAGCGACTGCGTCGGCTCTGAGTAGCAATTAAGAGCAACCCAGGCGCATCGTCCGCCTCTCTATCATGTTTCTTCTGCCAGAATGTGCCTACCTCGATGGCCTACAGGAAAGCTCCGCTGACCTGTGGGACTGTCCGCTCTGGCGGTTGCATTTGCAGCAGTCCTCTGAGCTACGCTACATGACCCGTTTGAGGGGGTACACTGGGTCAGAAGTTTGGTTCAGCGCAGCAAAAGCCTGGACTCTGCCTCGCAATTTTGTTCTTTCTGCCACGTCGCTGGCCCGTGCGAATGTAGGGCCTCGCCACTACCTCCATGAACCCTGTGAGCTACGCCTCATGACACCTTCAAACGAAAGTATCGTCTCTGAGTTACGGTTGACAGCAGCCCAGGCGCATCGTCAGCTTCCCTATCATGCTTCCTCTGCCAGAATGTGCCTACCTCGCTGGCCTAGAGAAGGCTCCGCTGACCAGTGTGAATTTAAAACTTAGCCACTACTCGACTTCAACCCTGCGAGCTACGGCTCAAGACACTTCTGAGCGAATATATCGGTTCTAAGTAACGAGTAAGAGCAGCCCAGGCGCGTCGTCCGCCTCTGTATCACGTTTCTTCTGCCAGAATGTGTCCACCTTGATGGCGTAAAAAAAAGCTCCGCTGACCGGTGGGACTGTAGGCCGTAGCGGTCACATCCGCATCAACCCTGTGAGCTATGCCTCATGACGCGCGTAAGCCGGTATATAGGGTGTAGAAGTTGACTCAAAGCTGGAGAGGCCTGGCGTCTGCCTCGCTACTTTATCCCTTCTGAGGGAATGTGTGGCTCAATGCACTAAAGGAAGACTCCGCTGGCCCATGCGAATGTAGGGCCTGGCCGTTACCCCCCATAACCTATGTGAGCTACGCCTCACCGGGCGTTTACGCGAATATATCGGTTTAATGTTCGGTTCAAAGCGGCCCAGGCGTATGATCCGCCTCACGCTTTTGTTTTGTTTGCCGGAGCATATATACACGTAGACATAGACATAATTCTACGTATATATATACATGTGTATGTATGTATTTATGTATAGCTGTATGCTTATACACCATGCGTATATTAGTATGATTCATATAATATGCGTTTCGCTGATGTGAAGGCTAGCCGAAGGCCATGAGAGAAGACTTCGCTTGCCAGTTCAAATGGAAGGCTACATCGACTGTGTGAGCTACGGCTCACAACGCGCCTAAGCGACTATACAAAGTCTAAAACTCGGTTCAGCACAGCCGGTGCGTACCATCCGCCTCATTGTTTGTTTCTCCTGCGGATCTAGCCGAATGCCGTCAGAGAAGACTTCGCTTGCCAATGTGAATGTACGGCCTACACCGATCCTGTGAGCTCCGCCTCACAACGCGTCTAAGCGATGATGCAGCGTCTTAAATATGGTTTAGAACAGCTCGTGCGTACCGTCCTCCTCGCTGCTTGTTTCTTCTGCGGGCGCGCGCCTAGTTGTGGCTTGCACACGGCGAAAAGCAGTGCAGTGCCTGCGTAAAGCAAAATAGATTATCCGACATAGGCAAATCCACGCAGAACGCCGTGAAAGACGACTTTGCTTGCTAGTGTGGATGTACTGCCTACATCGACTCTGTGAGGTACGCCTCACGACGCGCGTAAGCGATTATACAGTGTCTAAAGTTCGGTACAGAACAGCCCATGCGGATCATTCGCCTCATTGTCTTTCTCTAGTGCGGGCGCGTGCCAACCTGCCGCTTGCACACCCCGAAAGGCAGTGCCTGTGCGCAGCAGAATGAATTAACCAACATTGGCAAATCCACGCAAGCCTATAACGGAGGCAGTGTCTCGTGTGGGGCAGAATACGTTACCGGGCATAGGCAAATCCACGTAGGCCTACAACAGAGATGTGACAGCAGTACAAAACAGTGTGCCGGTGTGCTGTGGACCCTGCTACCGAAACATTCACTCGGAGACCGCCCTAATCAGCCATGTCAAAGATTCCATGCGGCACGGAATGAATCTGTCGACAGAGGCAGATCCGCCTACGCTACTATGGAGACGCGACAAGCGTAGAGAACAATATGGTGGTGTTCTGTTAATACGGCTATAACACAACTAAGTCGAGAATCGCCTTCATCAGCTATGTGATGCACCAGCAGGAGCGTACGCACGGCCTTGAAGTCTTCTCCGAGGCAGTACCGCACCACCAGGTGTACTGTGCCGGTGCATGCCCAGCCCAGATGCTGATCAAGACGCTGTTCCGACTTCTTACTTAATCGCGAGAGAAAATTCTTTACTTTCCGTCTCCTCCTCATGCAAGAAAACTATGAAGCTTCGCTCGTCCTCACATTTATATGTATATATATATATATATATGAAACACATATATAAGGAACATCTTGCGTGGACTGTGGCTCGCATGAACGTAGGCCCGTCAGTTGCTCGCAGTGTGTGGACGCCGAGGGCAAAACACGGATTTTCTTGTTCGTTCTTACCGCTTAGGTCATCTTCCACGTGACTTTATATATATTTATATATACGTGTACCTAATTTTCTCTATAAACGTCTTTCCCCGAGGGGATAGAACCCGGAGCGCAAGAAGAGCCAACATGCACTTTCGCTCCCCGGCAGTACTGGAATGAACAGTGTTCTCGCACGGTGCGACCACTCCTCCCGGAAGAGGTAGACATCGTCTTCTATGTGCTGGTATATAATGCATACATATATATGTTGCCTCCACTATGGGAAGAGAAAGGCATCGCCTGGATGCAAATAATAATTCTCTATATACATATATATATATATATATATATATATATATATATATATATACGTACCTACATATATACATGTATATATGTCAGCTCTCCTAAAGATACACATATCCTATATGCTGATACATGAATATATATATATATATATGTTACCTCTTCTACTAATATATCTATATATATATGCCACCTCTCCAATTAAAACGTGTGAAAACTAGAGTTTTTGTCTTGTTATCAAGCCTCGTTCATTCTTTCAACAAACAAGCGTTTCCTGTCTATGGTCGCCGTCCGTAGGTCTTCGTCGTGGAAAACAGGCCAGGTGTGTCGCCGTGGCTCACAGAAGACATAACTGGAAATTACGGCAGCAGCAGCAGCGGCAGCAACTTTCTGGAAAGGGTGAAGTCGGAAGGGGAGGGGAAGGCCTGCTTCAAGATTTTGTCTAATATCTGATCTCTGCTTCTTTTGTCAAACAGCTGCTTTCCGGCCACGAAGCAATTTGCCCTGTACACAAACGTGACTCCAGTACTTACGTGCTTGCGCTGCTTTCTTCTTTGTTGTTTCCGGTCTCTCGTCGAATACTTCTTTCCTTATCCCCACCGACGCTGTCCCCAAATAGCGGTAGCGGCGCATTTTTTTTCTTGTTCCCTGGGCTGTTTCTGTAGATCAACGCTCTTGTACGTGTCTATCCTTTAGGAAACTAACATAGGTTCGTATATATATACATATATATATACATGTATATATGCATTTATACATTGTACATGATAAAAAATCATCTGAGAAATTTGTATTGTATGCATACATATACGTACAGATACATATATATGTATATTTACTCCCTATATGTGTACGTATGTATATACGCAGACACGGAGCTCTCCAGGGCCCGTAGCGGTGGCCACACTTTCTTATTTCCTGGGCTGTTTCAGGAGATCAGTGCTTCTGTACTTTTTTATTTGTCTAGGGAACTGATATATTCCTCCGCTGCTCTCCAAGGCCCGTACCGGCGCACATTCTTTCTTATTTCCTGGGCTATTTCTGTGGGTCGATGGTTTAGTATTTGTCTATCTTTCTAGGGAACTACCAGATCCTTCCGGAGCTCTCCGGGGCCCGTTAGCGGCGCACGTTCTCCTTATTTTCTGGGCTATTTCTGTAGAGCAACTCTTTCGCGCCTGTCTATTTTGCTAGGGAACCAGAACATTCTCTAAGAGTTCTCCGAAGCCCGTAGCGGCAGACATTCTTTCTTCATTCCTGGGTTGTTCTGCAGATTGGTGCTTCTGTACTTGTCTGTATCTCTAGGGAACTGGTGTAGCCTTTCGGAATTCACCAGGGCCCCCCCGTAGGTGTATCACCTCCGCGGGTATCTGCGCGGTTTGTTTCTGTGTTGAAATGTTACTGACTTAGGGAAAAGGTGGTGCTGCATGCCGAATCCGCAGCGAGAAGACGACTTCTTTCCTCTAGCCAACCTGGTGAAGGTCTTCCTCAGTATACAAATCTTTGCCGCTGCATATCCGTTTGCTACACGACTTCTTTTCCTTATAGGTAGCCTTGCGAGGGGGCCCTTTCGGTATACAACTCCCTGCTGCTGCATCCACGTGTATTACACGACTTCTTTGTCTTCTACCCGGATTTGATATATATACATATATATATATATATATATATATATATATGTACAAATATACATATATATACGTGTGTATTTTATAACTCGCTGCTGCTACATTCACGCGTGGTACACCACTTCTTTCTCTTCTGCGTAGCCTTGAGAAGACCTGCTTCGGTAAAGGGCGGCTGTCGCCACATCGGCGTCTTCGTCTCCTCCTAGCCAGCCTTGAGAAGATCATTCTCGATGTACATATCTCTGCATCCACGTGTACTGTACGAATGCTTTTTCCTCTAGCCTAACCTGGGAAGGTCTTCCTCGGTATCGAACGCTCTGCCGCCACACCCGTGTGTAGCATACGAATTCTGTCCCTTCTAGAAAACTGGAGAAGATCACTTTCGATATTCTGTCGCCATATTCACGTGTACCACATCAAATCTGTTTCTTCTAGTAGTCTTTAAAAGAGCTCTCTCGGTATACAAGTGTCTGTCGCCACACCCACGTCGACTACAGGGAGAGCGAAACCGCGTGCATTCTACCTACGCGCAGAGTACTACAAGTCAAGGCCCCACTCTGCTGGGCTTTGCTTCAACAGGCACCTCGCTAGGTTACTCTTGCCAGAACTATTTGGCTAGTATCTGATGAAACTGCAGAGAGGCCATAGAAGCCGTGCTATCAGGGAAAAAGACAGCTGCCACATC